CGAATGTAAGCGCGCGGTGAGATGCGTCCGCTTAGCGACCCCGCTCGAGGCGGTGTGTAGCGAGGAGTAGGATGGCGATGCGCGGCGAGGAGTAGGGAGGCTAGGCGCGCCGCTGCCCGTCCGCCGCTTACGCGACCACTCGCACGTCTCCCCGCGCTGCGTCAAAGTTCGCAGCGATGGTCGCTACTCACCGCGCGCTTGCATTTGCCAGTGGGTTGGACTAATACGGCGATTTTTAAAATTCAGTATCTCGATAACTATTCGTCCAAGCGCAAAATAGTACAGGACTTTTCTGTTTGTCTTAGTCCCCTCTACCTTCCCATAACCGGTCTTCAATATGTTGCGGAGCACCCTGTATACTCTTTAATGGAGTTGAATTAGATTTTAATAAACAATTAATTATCTATATCATTTTATGAAGTTTAAAATTTATAATTATAGATTAATACTTGAATTAGCCATCTTTCAACACATCCACATGCTGCTGCTGTTGAAATAATGTTCTTCATGGTTACTTCTTCTTTATCATCACTGAACATGGAATAAATTTCTAGATCTTCATTGAATCTATAAGGATTTAATAAATAATAACAATATGCAAAATAAAAATAATGACTTAATAATAACAAATAATAAAAATAGTCAAAATATAGAGGAAATGGTGGTAATATAAAAGGTCATAATATGCAAACTATAAAATTTGATATACTAGATAACACAAGTGCGTGCGTCGCACGTACCATTTGTTCTCTCTAGAAATTTGCATGGTTTGACAGCTGCAAATAACGACTGAGGCATGTGGTATCACAAAAGCGAGACAGCCAATCAGCATCTCGGAAAAGCGACAATACTTTGAGATGTATGATACAAATATGACTATATTATTAATAATTTGGATGATATTTAAAATTTAGCGCCAACAAAGTTACATTACCAACATATTTAATGTTTTGGCAATCTTCATGCCCTACACGTGTCTCAAGTTTATTTTCGTACCACTATTGTCAATTGTCAATCGTTATTTGCCTCTCGTCGTGACGGTCCTTTCGCAACTTCAGTGAGTTATAAAATTTTATTTCCAAACGAATAGTTTCAACGAATTACTTTTACATTTTTAGAAATATTTAAACAAACAATCGTTCTCTTTACTTGGCAATCACCAGTAAAAAAAACGCATTTGAATTTGTCAGAGGATCGGAGACAGTAGTATTTAAGTTATTTATTTAATCAAGTATAGAAATTCAATATATTTACTCGCATATTTATATCAACAATGATTGAACGTTTTAACACCATGTATCATTTCTGTTAACCCAGCTTCACTGAGGATGACCCAAAAACGGGTCAAAACGTTTGGAATCTATTAAATTGATCTCAATAATTGATATTATCGCACTTATACCTGTTATTGGCTCGCATTGGCCCCTTCTTCCTTCCTAATACTTTGAGACTTTTGACTATCGACTTAACACACCTCTTTTTATACATATAAGATAAGGACTATTTGGCTGTAATTTGGCATTAGTACTTAACAACATGATGTCTATCCATCTTATAATTAATATTCCTAGGTCAATAAAACAAGAGATTGTGAAAATACTCGTATCTTAAGAAGATGTTTTTTATTCATCGCAAAAGTTTAAAAAGTAAGAAAAAGAAAATAGCTTATTTTTCTTAATAAATTAAGGGTTTGAAGTATTTCTCTCGATTTTTTCTATAGGATTCCGCTATATTGTACCAAAGTGCATAAACACCGAACGTTCTCGATTCTCTACTCGTTTCATTAATGAATTGTATAAACGGTATTATAATAATATTTGCATTATTTTCAGGGTTTGTTTAAGACCCAGCTAACCAGACAACGTCAAAATGTCGTGAAAAATACGTGATTTTGATAACGATAACGTCATGTGACTTAAATGGTGCGTAATTTTAATGTCATTTTAAATACTAATACAGTACGTCATTATTGTTACGTCAAAAAGACATATCATTAACGTCGAAGATATAAATTGTATACATATAATGACATATAATGACGAAGGTATAAAATAATAAAGAAATTGAAAATCTCATCAAAATATGCAATGCGCGAACAATGCCATGTCATTATTTGAGCATACAAAACACATTTATATCTTCGACGTTAATGGTACATCTTTGGAAACAACCCAGATAACATGCTTGTCTAAAAGATATCTTCAAGACTTCTTTAAGACGTCTTTAAGATATCTTTTAGACATGTATGTCTAAAAATGTTTGTTACTAGATTTACTAATAAATTTCGCGTTTGTATCAACATAGTTTCCATTAGACATTGCCAAATTGAATAAAATATTAAATCTATCTTATCTACATATTTAAAAAATAACCTCAATATAAATCGATATTGAAGAAAATATTTTTACCATATAAATTGTTTGTGACATTTCATAAGTTGACAACTTCTCATGTGAACAACTTCTCATATTTATTATTTTTAATTTATTATTTTTTAATATTTTTATGTTTAAATATGACTCAATCAATAACATCAGCATCATTGTACATATAATTACTGAAATTTTATAAGGTATATCGGCAAAGATGCAAGAGTACCTTTATCACTGTGCAATGTACCGTCCCTGACCGCGCGAACTTTAAACTACCTGATTTGTCTATTATAAATGCTTCCTATTTGAAAAGTATTATAGCCTCGACATTTTCGTATTAGGATTTTTGTCTTACTTTTTGCTCAGAAATACGTTATTAAAATTTCGGTCACGAATTGCGGCACACCCTGTATATGTAGGATGTTATTAAATATGTAGGTTAATAGAGCGAAGGCGCGGCTGCGCGACGACAAAAGAACGCGGTTGTGCGATCGAGATAACGAGCGGGTGTTGGGACTATGCTGGGACATTGACGCCGACACTTTAGGTATTAAGGTGGGACTCGCATTAATGTCAAACTCCTGGGCGTCAGGAGACCCACAAAACGGGAATTTTTGCGAATAATAATGTCAACATTTGACCCGCTCGGATTGGTCAGTTCCTTTGTTATAAAATCCAAGATAATCATGCGGGAGGTATGGTTTAGCAAAGTCAATTGGGACGAGGCGCTGGGAGAGGAGGAACACGCGAGATGGATGTCGTGGCTGCGGAGGTTGTGCTATATAGAGGAGATTCGTATCCCGCGGTGCATCATCCCAAAGGAAGGTCATTTCGGGAGCGCGCAGTTACACGCGTTTTGCAACGCGAGCCTCAAGGCATATGCGGCGGCCGTCCGCATTTTGGCGTCGATCGCTGGTTGAGAGAATATGTACCCACGTTATTAACACGAAGAAAATGGACGAAAAGTGTCGAGGCTATACAGGTCAATGAAGTTGTTATGATAGTGGACCTGCAAGTGTCGCAAAATCGTGGAAAAAGGGGACTGTGGTTGACGGGGTAGACGGCGTTGTTAGAACAGCTAAGGTTAGAGTTAAGGATAGCGATTTTATATGGCCCACATATAAATTAGTAAATCTTTTTAACAGCCCAGGGGTACAAAATTAAGGGAATTTTGTACGGGGGGAGAGTTGTTACTGGAGGACGTTCGGTCCAAAATAGCATTAAAAATGTAATGATGCAATGTACAAGCGTGGAGGAGGCGTGGAATATTTATGTTGTCGAAATGGACATGCGACCTACCCGGTGCCTTGTGATACGAGTCATATGGACTCGTGGCCGTCAAGCCACCTTGAAATCAAAGACCCCGTGGGTTGGAAAACTCGGTTGTGAAAGTCGCAAGCGTGCACGGGAACCTTGTGTGGAGGACCCGAGGCCGTTTAGACTAGTGAGGCACCGGTGACGCAACAGGAAAATCCTGGAAAATACAAGAAAACTCGGGATGATGGGATGAGCGCCTCCCCCACGCTTACCCAATGACGAATATGTGAGAGTGGGAGTCATGTGGAGGGGTGGGACAGGCGAGCCGTGCGAGCGTAGGGTTTTTGGGAAGACAGATTCCGCTGAGGACCCTCGAGAGAAAAGGTGTGTACGGCCTAGTCGTAAGTGGTGCGCCTAAGGTAGAGTCGTAGTTCTGTCGAATAAAATAGTTTCTAACTAACTTTGTTCCTTGCCCATAACAACCACAATCTCCTCTACAGTAACATAAATATCACTAATCACAAAATATAATAAATGGTGACAAATGGAAGAAAAATATGCGATTATTATTAGATATTAGATGATTAAAATACCCTAATTTATTGATTCCCTCGAAGCATTTTTTCAAATGTGGTTGTACACGAAATGGATCTTTAGTTTCAGAAAGAATCTCTAGCATATCATCATTACTAAGAAAAAAAAAACGTGGAAAATATAGTCTTTTCTTCTCGAGATAATCCAATACACCTGCGTTAATCCTTTCTATCAGTACATTTGCTTTGTGCATATTTTCCAACAGTCCTATCTGAAAAAAATAAGTCTATTTTTAATAGAGTAAATTTCAACAAATGAAGAAATTATACATATATTAAAACAGAGACTATGATATGCACATGATATACATATGATGTATGTATACATATACATGGAGTTTATTTTAAGTGCTGCAGGCAGATATCTCGAAAAATATAGAATTTATGGAAAAATGTGTCTGACAAAAGTTGCAAGATAAATGTTTATAATATCCATGGGTAATTATGCATAAAAGGGGCCTCCTCTCCGATTTGTTTGATTTTTAAATATGTTGTTGGGGATGTCTTCCCGAGTCATTTCATATATATATATATATATATATATATATAAGGGCCGGACTCAAATAGTTTCGGAGATACAGGCTGATCCCCAACGCATGCACTTCCGCCGTTGTACTGTTCCACATGGGTTTGCAACTTTCCACGTGAAGCGAGAACCACTCCACACCTCTGACATGGGGTGGGTAGGGCTATTTTTAACAAGGTGAAAGCCCCCGAAGGAGGGGGGCGGAACATACTGTCTCCACGCATACATTTTTCTACCAACATACATATAAGTCACTCCCCTCCACCAAATGTAGATTGAAAAATGTATGCGTGAAGACAGTGTGTTCCGCCCCTCTTCGGGGGGGCTCCACTTCGTTAAAAATAACCCTACCCACCCTATGTCAGAGGTGTGGAGTGGATCTCGCTTCACGTGGAAAGTTGCAAACCCATGTGGAACAGTACAACGGCGGAAGTACATGCGTGGAGACAGTATGTTCCGCCCCCCCTCCGGGGGGCTCCACTTCGTTAAAATATAACCCTACCCAAACCATGTCTGAGGTGTGGAGCGGATCTCGCTTCACGTAGAAAGTCGCAAACCCATGTTGTGTCGCTACATTTCGTCGGTATGATAGATTTCTTAACTCTAAAAGTTGTCAACTTTAAAAATTAATATCTCGCTTCGCAGGGCAGAGCGACGATTTTGTCTGAGGAAAAAGTTGTTTCTCGTTGAAAAACGCGTCGAATAAGACCAATTTGATTGATTTTGGAGGTGGGGCAGCTATACTGAAGAATTACTAAATATTTATTATTTGTATCCTTTCTCAGCTTGTATCTCCGAAATTATTTGAGTCCGGCCCTTATATATATATATATATGAAATGACTCGGGAAGAGAAGTCCCCACCAACATATTTAAAAATCAAGCAAATCGGAGAGGAGGCCCCTTTTATGCATAATTACCTATCCATGTTATATTACAATTGCTTTGTTAAGTAGGAAATTAAAATATTGATGTTATGTAACTCTTACTTGGTGTTTATTGTGATAAGGGTTATGGGCCAATTATTAGCAGAAGCACTGTGAGGATTAATATTTTGTAGGGTAAATGTTTCCTTTAACTTAGCACCCGCCAATCAACTTCCGTTTGACCTTGATGTTGACCTTGACCCCCAAGGAAGTCAAGGTCATTGCCCATTCCCGTCGCTCATTGTTTGTTAAAAAGTTATGAAGAAAATAAGTTTGTATCGGGTTTGCGTATTTCTGTAAAGCACAATATTCTTGTGTGCGTATGGACTTACAAATGATGGAAAATTATCTGCTCTACAGAACAGTTAACCCTCGAAACAAATAAATAATTATCAGCATGGTGTTGTGAATCATAGTATTAATTTTGTGGATCCAACAACTGGTGTTCATAT